TGTTGGACCTCGCGTATACCCCCGCCCGACCCCCGCCCGAATCCGGTCGACAGATTTATATGTATCTTGCGCTGGATGTTCGAAAAATGTTCAAAAACATCGCTTTTTACAGTGTTTCGTGGCCTTCGGCGTCCACAACAGGGTGCCCGTGGTGTCGGTTACGCGTGCCGCGCGGACAGGCTTAATCGACATTTCGTGGGTGTTGGGCACATGAGTTGCCTTACATATCCCTAACATAGGCCCAAGATAGCCAACATATCCCCAACATATGTCCAACATAGCCTCCAAGATGGCTCAACATAGGGCCAACATAGGCCAACATGGGGCCAACATACGCCAACATAGGCCCAACATAGGCCCAACCTAGGCCAACATAGGCCTAACATAGGCCGACCTAGGCCCAACATAGGCTCAACATGGGCCCAAGATGCGCCCAACATAGACCACATGGGCTCAACTTGGCCCAACCTAGGGCCAAGATGCGCACCAGATAGCTTAACTTTGCTCAATAGGAGAGGGAAAAAGAGAGAGTGAGAGAGAGGGAGAGGGAAAGCGAAAGCGAGAGAGAGGGAGAGAGAGAGAGAGAGAGGCAAAGACAGCGAAGACGGAGACAGAGAAGACCGAGACAGAGACAGAGAAGACAGAGACAGAGACTGACAGAGAAAGAGACAGAGACAGAGACAGGGACAGAGACCGACAGCGAGAGAGAGAGAGGGAGAGGGAGAGGGAGAGAGAGAGAGGATCCAGTGCGCGGACTCTAACCCAAATTGGCCGGCGCCCGGCTGTCAGGCGTAAGCCTCATAAATAAGTAACCCCGAGGCCGAGGACTGATGGTTTCCTCCCAGGCACTTTGAGTATGCCTGCAGCACATTTATGCAAATTTCCTCTAAATAGCAATTCACAAGAAACTTATACAGTAGGTCGTTTGAGGCTTTGGCATCAGTTTTGGCGAACGAACGGGGGCGGTTTTACAACATTAATTCGGCCGTGTTCACTCTAAACATGCAAGGTTCAACAATGGTCAAGTTCTCAGCAATTTCATCCGAATAACAGTGACACGGCCGAACTAATCCCTAGGCCCTGGTTGATTTGCCCATTGGCGGCGGCCAAACCATGCGTCCCGGAGCGTATAAATATTCCTCCACTCTTGCCATGTCTCTCCGTCGTTTCGGCCGCTGAGCCTTTGGAGTTGGTGACCACCACGGATCCCGGTGCCATTTGGACCTCTGCCTTCAAGAGCTGGGCGCCACCCAGGTTGGCTGAGCCAGCGCCATGGAAGAGCACCCTCATCCCCTGGCAGAATCCAGATCACTGCGTTGGGGAAAATAAACATGACATGGCAGCAGAATGAAATACTGAATGAGAGAGAGAGAGAGAGGAGGGAAGACAAACCAGTGAGTGGAATGCACTAGCCAGGACGTGTCTTGATTCAGTCTCTCTTTGGTACAAGTACGTAGATGGGGGAGCATTGGGAACTCTTTCTGTCCCAGTTCGGCAATGTGGAGCAAATTTGCTGCGCACAATGGGGCGCATCCCCACTCGGCGAATGCCTGCAGCTCTTTCAGCAAGCTTGTGCATTCTGGCTTTTGAAGCCTGGTTCAAAGCACATCGCTGCAAATTTGAGTAATTCGGGGCGAAAAGGAATAACAATAGGCTAAAGCGGCTGATATTTTGCATTTTTCTTTCCAGCTCACAACAAGCGTTCAAACACAAAAGGGATATATAATCTACATACAGAATAGCTCAATCTGCCACTGGTATGGTCAACTGCTTGCCAAGAGTCTTAATGCCGCCCAAAGCTGCCGCCACGATGATAGAGGCTGTACCCTGGATATCATCATTGTAAGTGAGAAACTTCTCTCCTTGGCAACTCACTCAATTGAAACATGAATAGCCTGAGTCAGGCGCCGTGTTGTCTGGGTGGTTGCTCCATTTCCGTTCGTAGCCGCCAGTCCGGACACAAGCACGCACATGTCTTCAAGAATCTGTACTCTTCCAGCAGTGGGAAGGCATCATTTGAGTTGAAGTCCTTGCATCACCACACGGCCGCAGGAATGTGGCGCGTGATGCGAAAAAGGAAAGAGGGAGAGGTGGGCAGATCAAACTGGTCAAACAATCTCCAGGGGCCACATCCTTCAATTTCAACTTCCAACCCCTTCGACCCGAGATCTTGATGATCTCGTAGGGATTTAGGAAAACACCAACAATAATCCCTGGAATCCTTTCTCCGAACCCCCTGAGGCGCCCGAGGGCCTCGAATTGCAACAGGCAATTGCGGCCAAAGAGGTCCCTTGCTGCTGTCATGAACTCCTCAGATGCGTTGCACACCGATTCAGAAAAGGCTCAGAGAAAGAGGGCCAAAGCAAGACCACTTCTAACCGCAAGGGAAGCATCCCCGATGAAAGAGTCTTCGCCATAGTAGGCTGAATTCACCTGAGCATAAGGGCAAAGTGAAGAAGCTGCGTGGAACCAATACTAAATTGAAATGACCGGCGTTGCTCCTGCCAAAACACTGTCCCAAATTGAAAGCAGGAGGCGCCTCTGTTCCTGCCTTGGAAGTATGCTTCACGCGGTTCTCCTTCATCCCGTGATAGAGGATATGATCGCGAATCGTGAGCCTTTGACACCATGTTGCTGCAACCAAGCGGATTTTGAAATGTTCACCTGCGGGTCATCTGCCCTAGTTACTAGTAGCTACTAATAGTAATGCCCTTCTTATATCACAAATCCCACACAACACTTCTTGGAAACCCCGGCTTTGCAGCGTTGCCATTGGCATCGGTACAACCAGCATCGATCATCACCGGCATGGTCTTGTGAGGGTTGAAGCCTGCACCTCAAAAGCCAGTTTATCGGCACAAAGACTTCTGGGTCCCAGGGTTGACTTGCTAGCCTCCACCACCACGTTGAAGAAAACACCATGTTGTTGCGACACAGTGTCATTGAAAACAAGGGGTCGGAATGACGCTGTAAGGCCGCGGCATACGGTGTACAAGTCCTGAGAAGTGCGAAGGCTGTAACTGTTGGCTGTAACAGAAGTTGGGACGGGTGTATGATGGGTGTCTGATCGAATCAATGGCACTATGCAGCTGCCCAATGACAATATATAAATGGTTTAAGTCTGAGTCTAAGTCAAGATTCCAGCTTGCCGATGGGGATTCCCATGCCCCACACGCCAAGGTCACCGAGGCCCAGGATTCGCCCCCCATCGGAGAAAACGATGCATTGGCATTGGGGCTTGCCAGCAGAATCCTTTGGAAGCATCAGATCCTTGGATCACCACGGCGCTTTAGCATCACACCTCTTGGAGATTCGACTGTAAGAGATTCCTTCCAGCATTCGGCCAAGGCATCTCAAGGCATTATCAGCCGCCCTCGGGAAGCCTGTGAGTCCAAGCTTCGGCGTACTCCTTCAGCACAGCCTTTAGGTTGCCACGGTCCGCCAAAGACACATAGCCTTAGCACAAATTGGCACAAATCAGTTCGACATCGGCCTCCCATGGTCTCCAATGGTCTCCCTGTACCCGTCGTTTTTCCAAATAGGTCCGAACCGATGGCGCGCACCCGCCAAGGCACAACCCCGTGGGAGGAGTGGCAACTGGCCAAACTTCTGGCAAGCCTCAACAACGATAGACTTGTCCAACTACGACTACGATCTCTTCGAGTTGCAGACTCTTCAGACGGAATATTATGGAATGACTCGGGCGCCTATACTTAATCTACTTAATTAAGTAAGGGCCGGCTTTCAAGAGAAAATATCCACAAAGCAGTCCATAGCAGTCCCCATTCAGGTCACATCACCTGTCAGCGACAGCCACGCCCCGCCTCACCCACGGTGGGAGTGTACACAATTGGCATGAGGAAAGAGGGCTCGGCCATCACAGTACGGTAAAAAAGGTTGGGGTCCTGATCACTCGAGTGGTGGGCGCGAGGCTGTCATGAGAAGCGATTGGCAGGGGGAGCATACCCGGGCCTTGTGATGCAGCATGCGCAAGTAGGCATAGGCCCATATCATATGCCCCAGGCTGGTAAAGCCCCGGACTTCGGCCAAGGCCTGTTTACAATCACACTTCCACCATCCAAAAGCGATGGGCTCTCACTAGGAACATTCATATAGTCTGCATGGAACACTTGCACCCCCACCTCGTCCACAGTCTTGGCTTGGCACGCGCCATCCAAGATTTGCAGCACGCCCTTCACAGCGGCCTGCAACTTTGAGGCTGAAACTTGGCCTTGTGACTCCCAATCATCGTCAAGGGCTCCCAGCTCTTTTACTTTCTCCATGTCTCCATGTGTGTGTATAGCCGTGGAAGTTACCTATGCGAACTTGCTGGGGAGCTTTGGATCATCCCCGCCTGCGAATTCCAATCCACTGCTCCACGCTTAACCACCGTCTTCGGCAAAGACAGGCTTCGACCCTCCAAGTTGATCTGTACAACCATGGCGGCCTCAGAAAACTCAGAGAGCCTGCAAAAGCCGGGACCCTCTCAGGCTATTCTCACTGGACCGCACTTGATTGCCCAACTCTGCAACAAATTGGAGCGACCCACCAGCCACAACTCAAGAAAGGGAAAGAAGCAATGCAACGGTGGTTGGGAAGGGCAAGCTTCACATCCAAGCTGCTAGGTCAAAGCGGTTCTCCAACTAGGGCTTGCATTGAACAAAGGCTGCGGTGTGTTGGTATGAATAGCCTGCAAGTGCCTTTTGGGCCTTTCCTGCAGCAGAAGTACTAATATCCTTCAAGCAAATCTGAGGCTCAGGCATGCCAAGGCGTACGGACTGCCATGTGGGAATTGTGTGTGCGTCGGGTTGGTAACGGATGTATCAATCCTCTGAATCCACTTCTGAATCCTAACTTCCAACAGGTCAGGAAGACCGCAGTACATCTGAAGTCCTCATTCAAGTTGCCAATGCCTGAAAGATGCAGAAGGATTGCGAGGTGCCTGAATCCTATGGCGTCCTACGGCTCAAACGGGATTGCAGGTAGCCACCTTTTTCTTTGAAGCATTGACTCTCCTCTGGTTCCCCCTTTGGGGGTCAAGTCGCATCACCTTTGTACACAGGCCTTCTTTCTTGGATGTCATTCCGAGAAGCCTTTCAACATCTCCGTCACAATCCGAAGGCCTTGCTGGTCAGCTAGCTCCTGCGAGGTCTCTGCAGGTCTCTCTCTCTCCCTCTTTCTCTGGGACAGCTCTCTGTGCTGAAGAAGGTGCAGCCCTGGGAATCTCAAGAAACCTCCACAAAATCAACGCTGTCTTATCTTTTGTGTCCCTTTGTCCGCGGCTCTATGCTCGACAAATATCCATATATCATTGAAGCCAAAATTCTAGACAAGACTACGTCAGCTGCAAGTGACCGCCTCTGTCAAGCCGTCCCACCTGTGGGGATGGAAAGGATGCTTCTGCAAGTCGTGTCAACAAGGAGCCGATGCTCAATGACGAGGAAGTACCTTGCGGAAGCCAATGAGGTACAAAACTTTGAAACCAATACTCAACTAGAGCTATACATATAATCACACACACATATACGACACACACACACATATATATATATATATTATGCTATTATATACATGTAAGATCATGTAAGATCAAAAGCTGCTGGCCGCTAGCCAACTTCAAAACAAAATGACGAAAGTTTGGAAGGAATGCTTCACAATCCCCCCTAAAGGAACAAGAAATGCTCTGATCCGAGCTGCCAATGTGGTGACCCAGGACCTCCACTCGCCGAATCCCGTAACCTCAGTGGTGGCAGGATAGTTGGGCCAGGCATGGCATGGGAGCAAAGGTCAGCATGACAGTTACCAATTACCAATTTGATGTGACACGTTTTACTGTATCATCTTTGCACGGCACTCGTACGTACACGCAGTGAGATGTTGGGAGGCTTCATTGGAGAGGCTTGATGACAAGAACTCACTGTGCATGCCCAGGAGCTTTTGCTCAATCCGAAGCAGTCGGGGCATGGCTGGTCCAGCTCCAGGCGAACCGCTCCTCGGACCCAAGACCCGAGGTGGTCGAAGTATCGAAACCTTCCTGGCACTGTATGGCTGTGGGCTTTGACCCTCAAAAAGAACAGGACACCTTGGTTGACCCATCGGTGATACTCAAGCTACAGATTGAAGGGGGCTCCAGGTTGTACCCAAATATAACATATATCATATATATTATATATATATATGTATCTATACATTTAAAAAAATATATATAATTCTAGAATGAACGGATGTTAGGGCCCTCTTGGGCTTCAACCTTTCTTCGCCACTTCTCGTCTTCCGTCTCGGTCTCACAGCCAAGCCTCGGGTCGGCTCCTCCCAGCCCGGCAGCTCCGTCCAGCCATTGAAGTCCGCCGCGTGGGTCCGCCGGCCACGCTCGTGGACGACGGCCTGGACGACGACGGCCGCTGCGGCGACCAACGGCGACGAACGGGAAGGGTGACCCGGTCGACACCGGCAAGACATGGAAAGCTGGGTCGGTTCAAGGTCGATGTCTCCGAAAGTAGTAACAAGGACGCTACTAGGGGCTCCTGGCCTTACTACTAGGAGCAAGAAGCTACTAGTAGTAGTAACAAGTTTCAAAGCAGTTTCAAAGCATCACGAACAAGTTTCCTCCCGATGCCTCCGCATAGTCGAAGTCTGCCACCTCGTCCCAAAGCAGTGAGAGGACCCGCAGGCTGCTCTTCTTGCCATAGTCACCTCAAGAGGAATCGGTGCAAAGCACCTGTTTTTACATGGTCTAATGATGTCTCATGTTCCAACGTTTGAGCTGCCTGAGGCCAAGACCCCACCATTTCACCCTGACCCTATCGACTTGACTCAACTTCTTGAGGTCGATCTCCAGCCACTGTGGGGCGGCTTCTGTTGGGAACCTCTGGTAGGGCAGTCTCACACCAATGGACCGAGGCGGCATCATGATTTTGAATTGATTATATACCTGTATACATCCGCAGTAAAGCTGTTCAACACGACCTTTTGTTTGGCACCAACTGATATCAAGCGGGTCCTGATTTGAGCAAACCATTCAGGATTCATCATTCGGGGCAGCTTTAAGAAATCACTTGGACAAGTGGCCATTCTGAGTCTGTGCCATCCACCACATGGCCGGCTCGCTCCACATCTGCACTGGCACGCACAGGGCAGTTCAGGGAGAGCTCGCGACCGCCTGTCAAACGGTGCATCTTGCCGTACGTCTCCCGTATGGTTCTTCAGCCTTTGGTCGGCTACAGTAGGTCTGCGATGATGCCTTGTGCTTAGGGGTATGGCATGGTATGCCTGTCTCTCGCCAGTGCCGCGGGTGGCCGAAAGGTAACGTGGGGTGGAGCGGCAATGGTTGGCAACCGGCAGCGGAGAAGACATGCAACAGGCAGGAGCGCAGCCGATGTGGATGCACGACTCTGGTTTGAAATGAGAGCACGAGCATCCGTGACGATTAGGTTGTAGTTGCAATGAAAGAAAGAGACATCCAAGAGGCTGAGGCTGCAAGAAAAGAAACAGCAGCAGGGTAGAGGCAATGGCTTCGAATGATGAATCCAATAGTGACGGTGAGCTACTGAGAGTCCTTCATTGTTAAAACAAAGGATACTTCAGTTAAAAGCACTCCTGCAGAGCGGGTGCAAGCAGTGGAGGCAACGCGTGAAAGCACTCGCAATTCCCTGAAGGTTGCATTGCCAGCTGCACCCGAAAGGACCCACGACAAAATAAAGGATTCAATGGGATTTGAACCCGCTTAAATCCCGATCTCAGGGAATTGGGAAAGCCGCCCCTCTGGTCAATCTGAAGCAAGGGGAGCTCAGGTAGCACCTGCGTGACCTCAGGGAAGAAAATCAAGTAGATTTTGACAGAATGAACGAGAAATCAGCGACTAAGGAACATGCTCCTGATTTGGAACACATCGCCGAACCTTGCCATGGGCCGCTGGCAGCGAGTGCCTCCAATGCTTCCACCCGCGGGTGGAGCATTGGCGCCAGCTGTGGCGTGGCCACCTTAGCCCAAACCGTATGGCTGGCTGGTCAAGGAGCCCGTAGTAGCGTCCTTGCTCCTAGTAGTACGGCCAGGAGCCCCTAGTAGCGAACATTGCTCCTAGTAGCGATGCCAGGAGCCCCTAGTAGCGTCCTTGCTCCTAGTAGGCTGGTCCAATGATCTTTTGGGAATCGTCACCAAAGACGTCCGAAAAGTGAAACCCGGGTGCCTCGTCTTGCTACAGTAGAATCTGTCAAGGCCATTGATAGACTGTAAGCGGTGCATCAGCTAGTGCTACCAGGCGGGCAGCAACGGATGCAAACCGACAGGGTCAATGTCCTTCAAAGACAGGGAGCTGCCAGCAAATCGACCCATGCCTCAGCTATGGGGTGATAGCCACTGGGCATCATTTGCGCAGCAAGGGGCAAATGTTTGGACTCGGAGTTCATCTCTTGGCAGCTTTCTACACCATTCACAGCGAAGATTTCCAACATTATCCAACTGTGCGGCACAAAGGTTGTCAGGACATAGAAGCACCGCATTGATCAGCAGCTCGGCAGCAGTCTCTAAAGGCGACAACCTCAAAAGCTGGAGCCCCTCCGCCCTCCACTCGATACCATTTGAGCATGATATAGAGTCATTCGATATCATTTGATTGAACAAACTCCAAGCTGCTTCGCTGCCAGCCGCTGGCTCTCGCTGCAGGAATACTTCCCAGACATTATAGCACGCTCAGCGACCTGAGGCAATGTTGCAGTTTAGTCAGAGATGGGAGTTGATTTGGCCCCACTACCCACATCCTTGAACAATTCTACATCAAACGACTTGTTCAAGACTCCAATTCTATAACTATAGCAACTACTGTATTGCATCAAGAAAAGACCAATTGACCAATGGCGGCGGATGAACACTTGTGACTTACCGGCCACTGCCCATGACTCGCTCCTAGTCGAGGTCCCTACCCCTTGTCGAGGTCCTACAGTACCGGTCGGTTTGGAACTCTGACGTCCTGCCACAACCGCCTCAGACAGCCTAATGTAGACTCTTGACCAATATACCCAGCCTTTGAAAAGGATGTTCAATTCAAATGGGTGGTGTATCAATCAAGAGTCTACATTATCTTTATTCCGCATGTTCCATTCATGTCGGCGATCACCCGAGGCACTGGAATGACGCCAGCGTGCTCAGCGAATCGCCCTGACAGGTATGGTGAATCAATTCCAATTAAATTCTTTGTATTGTTTCTAATAGCTTCTTGTTACTACTAGTAAGGCACTTGTTACTAGAAGCGATGCACTTGTTCCTAGTAGCTTATTGTTTCTAATAGCTTCTTGTTACTACTAGTAAGGCACTTGTTACTAGTAGCGATGCACTTGACTTGTTACTAGTAGCGATGCACTTGAACCCCCCAAAACCAAACGTCAGATACCTGTCCAGGATGTTTTTGGATGTCCCTTTGTCACGTTGTGTCTAGTCAGCTGATCTGAGAATCCATACATATCATATCAGAACCATCTTTTGCAGTTGCATTTCCAGGTTGCTATTATAATGAGGACCCCGACCTTGCCCCCCAAGTCCGATCACCCCACCTAGCTCCTTTGGCCATGTTCGCTGGATCTTGTCCTCAGTCTTCCCACGGTGCCATCACTTAGCCATAGCCCCTAGTAGCGTCCTTGCTACTAGTAGTAAGGCCAGGAGCCTCTAGTAGCTTCTTGTTCCTAGTAGCGATGCCAGGAGCCCCCAGTAGCATCCTTGCTACTGAACCTTCAGGAAGGCCCAACATGTGCGAATCAAGGCGCGTGCATCCATGACTGATTCCAGCCACCTCAGCTCACATTCATGCCACATTCTCAACCACCCAATGCTCGCGCAGTGCACATTTGCAACCAAGAGGCCATTATCATTCTCAAGGCACCACCTACAGTTTTCAAGTTCAAACTAGCCCCTCCTTACCAAGAGACCATTAAAGTTAAGAAATCACTCAGCATCCCACCTGCCCCCCGGTCCGCGCCAAATCATCGCACAGTGCCCCGGCTGCCCCACCGGCATAGCTGGGACCCCAAAGGCCTGGCAGCAGCTGGCGCCAAACTTGGAGACGGCACCACAAACACCTCCGCGTGGGATTCGAGGCATCAAGATCGAAAAATCATGACGCTACTAGAAGCAAGAGCACTAGGAGCAAAGGGCATCGCTACTAGGAGCAAGGACGCTACTAGGGGCTCCTGGCATCGCTACTAGGAGCAAGAAGCTACTAGGAGCAAAGGGCATAGATTGTGATAGAATAATTTGACTATTATTATGTAATCATGGTCGACATTAACAAAGTCCGTCCAAGAGCCTCCTACCTACAACCCTACGTCCATTTCAGCCTGACATACACCCTGGAGGGTACATGGAGATGAGCAGTATGAGCACACATATGCATACAAGTACTATATTGCAGTGGTAGAACCTATGAAGGCCGACAGTATACTATAGATGCGTCAGCCTGCTCAGCGCAATGAAAGCACAAAAACCTGAAATGACCCCGCGACGCCTCCGTAGCTAAGAATGCGTGGCATGGTTGCCTTTTCGTTGTCGTAGAATCTAAGGCCATCGTGAACACTAACGCCCTTGTCCTTAGCGATTCAATTCAGTGTGATCCATGCGTCCCATTCACCAAGGTCCATCCCTATGTCGGTCCATTCGCAAAGAGGTTTTGTGGGAACAAAGAGTTTGACGCAGGTTTCGACGTGCAATCTTCTGAATCTTCATGAATCTTCCGGGCACCCGCTCGTTGTGAGGTTTGTACTTCACCATCCTTGCAGACTGGCCAATGACATCCGGCTTCTTGTATTCCTTTGACACATTCGCCCTTGACCTTGCAATGCCGAAACAAATGCCGAAGCTCGTGGACGACACCAACGTGTGGCACAACTGAGGGCAGTGCCATGCTAAGTCATCATCTGAATGCCAACTGCCCAAGACATATCTGAAATGCCAGGCTTTGAGAGATCGGAATTCCGGGAAGAGCTCCTTTGCCACGGCATTGGCACAGTAGTGCTGGTAGCGCTTGAAAAAGTCCTGACTGTTGCGCATCAAAGGCTCATTCACAACATGCTTCTTGAGGACAAGCTTTTATGGTTGTGCTCAAATTATCAGTGACACTAGCGGCAGTAGCAGTAGAAGCAGTTGCCGTGGCAAGCTGCAACTCGTGCAACTGTTTTATAAGTCAACGACACTCCTTAAAAGAACCTTTGTCTTTGTCCAAGACAAAGACATGGTTCAAGTCTGCAACTTAAGGCCCTTTTGCAGCAGCTTCTTTGAACTGAGGCCGGGGAGCCACTGCGCTTTCGTGAAAGCTGCTGTCCATCCTAGGCACTTGCACGGATAGCTTGCTTTCTGCGCGCTCTCTCTCTCTCTCTCTTTCTCCTGCCTCTGCTCTCCTCTCCTCTCCGCTCCTCTCCTCTCCTCTCCTCTCCTCTGCTCTGCTCTGCTCTGCTCTCTTGGCTCTGCTCAAAGTCATAGTGGTTTGCTTCAAAAATACAAGACTTTGGGCGAGCAGCATCTCTCTGCCCTCCGCCATGCACAGAGATGTGGCCACTGCCAGTTGTAGTTGCCAGCCGCCTTGCAAAAGGCTTGGGCTCTCTCTCAGCAACCTGGGCTTGCGCTTCCAAAACTGTTGGCCTGCCTGTCACAACCACCCATACCATGCACGACAAGGCACCTGCACAGGTGGGCAGTTGCAAGGACCCAATCTCGGCAGCCACCACTCAGCAAAAGTGCCTGATAGCTTCCACTGAATAGACTCCGATTGAATCACCACGTCTCGGGCAATTTGGACAGTCAGGGACTTGAGTGTTTGACTATGCTGTGTGCAGGTTTGCCACAAAAGAACTGTTGCAAATTCTGGACTATTCGCAGTAATGTTGAATTACCCGCTCGGGGCTTTCAACCAACAACCACCTCAAGCAAGTCTTAAACATTATTATTAGGCGGCCTATTTCCTTCAGTGCCCAATCCTGCCTCAACGGCTTCGCGGCATCGGAGCAAAGGTCCTTCGCGGCATCGGATCGACATGTGAGTCCAGTGCGCTCAGATGCGCTCAGCTGGAGAAAAAAAATAGAACGCGAAACCTGGCGTGACAGGCAATGTCGATCAATTGTGTAAAGGTTATATAATGGCGATTGCCTTTTAGGCTGTCAAACGCTTCAGCAGAGTGACCCAAGTCAGGCAAGCTGGTGCTTGGTAAGCTTCCGCTGTACAAGGCTCGGCGGCCTCAGGGACACTGTCTGAATACATCGGGGAAAGGCCAACAACACTGAGCTGGGGCTCACCATCTAAATGTCCAAAAGGTGATTGTTTTAAGACGCAAACTGTAACTGATTGCTCTTCGATGCTTTTGGGCAACCGTGGACAACAGACCAAGCCATTCAGTACAGGAAGGGAAACTCAGTCTGTACAGTGGATAAGCTCCTGCCTCCAAAGCAAGGCAACCTTGGCGAGTTGGGTTCCGGTGTTCCCGTTCCAAGTACACGAGCCCAAGAGAAACACATGTCCATGAGAACAAGTGACCATGATCTCCCCATGGGATTCTTTGACATAAAAGGGGCGGGAGTGAGATGTGACGCACTCTATATAGACCCAAGCAGCATCTGCAAGATGCTGGGAAAAGTCGGCTCTTCTTCCACCCCCTCTTCCTCTGCCTCGCCCCACACCTCCGCATTTTGATGTTGCTTGGGTTGCTCAATTCTCTCGGTTGAGAGGCTCTGGAACCACCATCATCCGGACCAGATCGGGACACAGTCCTGCCTCAATGCCCAGTCGGGATAAAAGCGCCCACTGGAAAATGGAATGCTGCCTGAGAACGCGCTGAGATGCCTGGACTATCTGGACTCGTATTTCATCTGGTCTCACTGCTGGACACTATCAACGAAGGTAGAACCCTGCACATGACATGGGCTTCATGCGCTCTTGCAAAACATACCGACTATATACTTGCTTTCAAGATGGCTGCCCGGCCGGCCATGCCTGGCAGCAATCTGGGCCTCCGTGCAACTCCTCTGTCATCTCCTGAGACACTTGCGTCCGCAGCCGTGCCTCCAGCGCCTTCAGTCAGGGGGCAGAAACCACAGGGTTCCACGATGTGCCACAGGTTTCGTCCTTTCTTTGTTTCAAGAATTCGTAACTCAAACATGCAAGTGAGCTAGCTTCCTTGGCACTTGTCGATGGTCTGAGGGGCCCGGAAGGCTGCATCCTGCGAAGGAGACAGGCGGGGCCTGAAAACTTCAATACCGTAGCTCCAGGCGGCCTTCAAACACGGCTAGTTTTTCATGAGAACAGCCGAAGAGCAAAGGGATCACCCGGGTCACCATGCATGTGCCCTAATGATCATAATGTGCCAGTGTCAAAGCCACCAATCCTACCTACGAGGGGCTGGCACCCGGAACCGGCCGACGAGCAGTTCATCTCTGTGCAGAGTCTCCTGCTCCGTTGGTCCGCCAGCTCCCCCTGAATCGTGACACCATTTGGCAGAAAAGACTTGCAAGAAGCTACTAGTAACAAGTGCATCGCTATTAGTAGCAAGAAGCTAATAGTAGCAGGGCACCATACTACTAGGAACTAAACAAGAAGCTACTAGTAACAAGTGCTACTGTACCTTATATATCCACTGCAACCAGGCCACTGCCATCCGGGCCTGCTGCCTCTGTCGATACTCCAGGAGCTGCGCATCATGGCTCATGATTTTATCTTAGGGATTTAGCGTTAAAGCGCGCACTATTCATCACTATTCCAGCATACACCTCCATGGCAACTCTTCACTACATGTTGCGCAAAAACCTCAACCAAACTACAGTACATGTACTGGTACAACTAGTCGTGCTGAGAGCACTTCGTCGAAAACCACGATTGCAAGCTGGTAATCTCCACGCGGTCCGCTCTGGCGAGCATTGTCAACAGCATCTTGATAAGCTGAAGGAATGGCCAGTGGCTCAACAGGCAGATCAGTGTGATACTGTAGGTTCTTGTCAGTAGGTTCTTGTCATAGGGACCTTCCCAAAGGTATTTCACTTTACAGTATCATTATGCCAATGATGTTTCACATGCTCTTTCAGCTTCGCATCAAATCGAACCAACTCAAGTGTGTGACAGATGAAGACATCCAAAGGTTGCCAAAGGAACATAATCTGATCTGGCCTCGAGCAATGGCCGACCCAGAGGAAAAGCTCAAGCGATCCTCACGGCCGGTCCAACAGGTTATGTCAGAACAGGTCTCGTCCTGGAGGTGTTCAACCACGGTGGGACATGACGGTATGCCGTGTTCTGCCCATCGCAAAACAAGACCAGAGACATCGACTAGGCATTTTTTCCACTGTCCGCGATGATCTGAGGCTCGTGGGGATTCTCTGGCACGGCCCCCTCCAGCGTTGGAGCCCTAGCAGGGACAATGCATTCACCATAGAAACCAAATAACATGTGAGGGAGGCATATTCAAAAGTGTCTGGACAAGGTTCCAAAATCAGAACAAGGAACAATCCTGAAAAATCAAAACAACAGTTCAATTGTCTCAGCATCTCTCAGCCAAGCTGCGAGCTGAGGCTGAGAAGAGCTTTCACTAAAGCCTGTCTGAGTCCATCGTCATCTTGCTGCACCTTCACCGGAATAGTTGGACTCTGTTGCACCAGTTCCTCTAACGAACTGGCAAACATGGTCACATCCTTCTCCGCGACGTTCTCAGACCAATCGGAGTCAGAGGTCGGGATAACTTGAGGGCTGGCTCCAATCGCTCGTTTGGACTTGGGCGACTTTGGATCTCGTGCCCTGGGAGGTGTGACTGGAGCAGTCATGAACTGATCAAAGAGTGATGACTTCAGCCCTTCAGGCGCTAGTGGTGGGGTCCTTGGAGCTGCGGTGGCCTTCGGCATGGGTGGCGTGGCAGGAGCTACCAAAAGGTTTTCGGCAGAGATGCCTAAGCGCTGGATCACCTCCAGGGCCCCAGCACCTTCAGTAGCTTCAGTCTGAAGGTGATCTTGCGATCCCTGCGCTTCGTTGGGGCTTTCCTCTTCAGTGTCACTGTCAGCACCATCGGCTGGGCTTGGTATCATGAGGTTCTGCTCCAGCTTTTGGACTCGCTCAGCTTCGACCGAAATCTGAGCTTCCAACTCATCCAACTCTGAAGAGTGGGGTGTGGGGAGGTCCAGGTGGGGATCTGTGAATTCGATTTCATCTTCCTCCCGGGTTTCTTGGCTCCACTCACTCCACTGTCCCTTCTCATGACCTGCCTCTGAGTCTTGGGGGCCGACCGGTTCAGCCCAGCTTTGCCACTCACCCTCTGTTTCCGCCTCTGCACTCGCATCTGGCTCTGGATCGGGCACAGGCGCTACAGCTTCTGCCAAATCTTGCTGTTGCTGCCACCACCACCAGGCTTCTTGTTGAGCCATTTCCTCTTGAGACCCATCGTCGTGAGCTTCCAAATGCCTCTCAACCTGGGTTGGCTCTTTGACCGCCGCAGCTGCAGCTTCTGGTAGCGGCACCTTTAGGTGTGCATGTTTTGGCCGGGCAGCTGCTACCTGCAAGGCAAATGGCAAATGGAACAACATCGAAAGGCCTGGGGTGCTTATTGATCCCTGCATGTCTCTGTTACTCTATTAGACATCTTTAGACACTTCTCGCCTTCGGGGTCACTGCTCGCAACGACTCCTCCGCTGTGGGTGGGTCCAACTGTGCTTTGATGGGGAACTCCTCTGCTTCCATGAAGGGCTCTGCAGTACACATCTCAGGTGCAGACTCGTCTTTCGCATCATCCTCCTTGAGCTCATCCTCCTTGACCTCGTCTTCCTTGCTAGGTTGGTGGCCATCGCTAGTAGGTTGGTCCTTCACCTCGAACTCGCTCGGCTCATCCATCCTGATGCTTGGGCTTGCCACTCGCCCGCTTGGGTATGCAGACACGCTGGGCTTTGCCTTCTCCGGAGGGACGGTAACAGGCAGCAATTTGGGTATAATGGGAAAGGGCAACGGCCTTGGTTTCCCCGCAGCCAGTATGAAGGGCGCGGGCTGAGCAGGGCGCCCTGCTCGGATTCCCAGTGGGAAGGGTAAAGGCTTTGGCTTCGACGGCCCCGCCTTTGGCCATGTCAATGGTCTGAAGATTCCCCGGCTTTTTGCTGGTGTGAGTTTCGGGGGAGGGATATGAACACCTTTGGCCAAACGAACCGAAGGCCGGGGAACATCTTCTGTGAAGACTTGGTTCTCAACTAACATCGCTGTATATTCTGGTTCTTCTGTGGCTGCATGTTCGGGCTTGCTCTCCATCTTTTGATCCACATCTTCCGTCTCAACCCCAACACCAACAGCCTTCGGGGTGGCTGGTTCTGGTCGGCCATCAAGGGGTGCACAGAAAACTGGAACCTCCTCCTCGTCGGCTATCAGCTCTGTGGATTTGGGTGCACTCTGACCGTGTTGGGGCTTACCAGGCGTGCCTTTGGTTGTGGCTTCCGACAAATCTACGATCTCAGAGGGCTTGGCGGATGGCTTTGCTCTGAGCTCCGGTTTGGACCGCACTTTGGGTCGTGGAGCCAGCGAGGGAATCAGTATGGGACCGGAGAGCAGTGATGGGGTTGTCTTCAACTGAGGCAGTGCTCTTGCTGGTGCTGTCTTGGAGGATGGTGCGCTCTCTGGTGGTGGTTCTGCTGGTGGTTCTGCTGGTGATTCTGCTGGTGATTCTGGTGTCATTAGGGGTGGTGTCTTTGGCTGAGGTGATGCCTGCGCGTCAGGTGGGGCGAAAGGTACTGGCAAAACTGCCTTCGTCACAGTCTTTGCTGGAGCAGCCTTTGTCGCCGTGGCTTTCACTGCTCGCATTTGAAGTCGGCTCGGGGCCTCAAGGTAACAAACACCTGTGTGCATCTCCAAGCTGGCTTTCTGTGAAACGACTTTGAACTATATAAAAGGCTTATGTAACCCCGAAACCACCAATGCACTCCCCTAATATCAATAACCCCTAATCATACACTAGCCCAGCCTGAATTCTCTGCTTCGCCTGCCTGAAGATAACCAAGAGGTGCTTCACAGCGTTTTCTCCGATCTTCTGCTTGTCAATCCGCCCGGGCACTAACACAACCTGCATTGATTTCAACGTGTTCGCAATGAAATGGTGCACCGCCGCGCCATGCTCCGCCAAAGCACGCTCAAGCCAAAAGACCTGAAGCAAAAAAAACATAAATCAACTGTGACTAAGCTTCCAAAACTGTGGTTCCGAAAGCCTGGATGCCATGGATTGCATATAGGTATCCATGCATGGGTCAAGAGTCTTTCCTGAGTTCCTGGGTTTCCCTGCAAGCTTCGTGATGCCGCCCTGGTTCACGAAGCGAAGGAGCCGACTCGGACTGGGCTCAGTGAGGCGAAGGGCTTCGATCATGCCATTCTTTGTCTCTAGGTCCAGGGCTGAATCCATGCAATCGATGAACTTTCTCACCTGGCCTTTGGCAATGCCTCATGCACACAGTCAGTGCGCAAGTGCGCAAGCAAACTGGAAAGCACACTGCATAAGAGTCTAAATATGAGTGTGGATCTGAATCAGAGATGACGTGACCAGAGCCGTATTTATGTTGCACCTGCTGTTGTTGGCTCTTGTATGGGTGTGGAAAAGGTTGGCAAGCAAAGGCTGCAAGAACTATGGTACGAGGTGTCCCGACACACCTTACTGTTTCTCTCGGAATTTGTTAAAATCATCTGCGGCCATACTACAATGTATAGTTATGTATATTTAGATATATTTGTTTTAAAGATACAAAACCCTATAGCCTATGGCTCTACACGTGCTTCCCCAAACAGCGAGAGCTACTGGGGTTCTGACTTCAAGAATGGGAAAAGGTGCCTTTGTACGTTTTGGGGCCTGGGTGTTGGTGCCGCTGCAGGCGCGGCTGCTAAATGTTCAGGCCATGTGTGCTTTGGAGCTTGGGTGCTAGTGCCTTTGCAGGGTGCCGCTGCTGTTGGTGCCGCTGCAGGGTGCCGCTGCTGTGGTGGTGCCCACAAAAATCTTTGGCTATCTGGGGTCTATGCTGGCGTAATTTTTGGTGGGGACTGGATAAAAATTGGCTACTATATAGGAACAAGAAGCTACTAGGGGCTCCTGGCATCGCTACTAGGAGCAAGGACGCTAGCTACTAGGGGCTCCTGGCCTTACTACTAGGAACAAGAAGCTACTAGGCTCTCGCCGCCCAGGTTCCACCCGAACGATCCAAGCACTGCCGCCAGCGTGGGCGAGAGCTCGCAGCCGCAGCCCCGCTGCCACCACCCGGGGTTGTAGCCTGATGCTTGGGAGAATGCCCCGTCGCATGATTTAAACATATTGACAATATAAAGGTACAGTAAGTAAGTAACCAGTCCAGTCATGATGAAAGGAGAGGTTGGGAGTGATTGATTGGAGATGTTTATATTTAGGTTTTGTGCCTATTGTGACCGCCAAGGCTCTCTCTTCAGAGCTTTGGTCTGCGGTCGTTCAGCTTCGGCGAAACGCTGACGGGCTGGCTCCAGCGGCTCCTCTGCGGTCGCCTCATCCCTGGGTCGTTTCATGCTGCTGGCGGCATTCACCTCCGGTGTGCGTGCGGGCACAGGTGCTGGTGCCGAAGGGACCACCGCGGGGCGCGCCTCAGCGGGTGCTGCTGCAATGTCACCAGCAGCTGTAAGCCTCCTGCGCTGGGCAGGTTTGGGCTGGACATCTTCAGGTCTGGGCCGAACTGCAACTGGCTTCGGCCGCTCGCCTTGCACTGGAGGTTGGCACTCTTCTTTTTCCCAAACCATCCGCTGCAATTTTGCCAGCACAAATGCTAGGCGCCAACTTCCCCAGGTCCGCACATTGAACCATCTGCTCCTGGTCTTCGCTCCTATCTTCACTTCACAAATCCATCCAGCTCCATTCTTCATGGCACTTCTGCGGGTGCTTGCATCGTTCCACACCCTCAGGCCACTTGGAACTTCTTCTCCTGCCCGGACGCCTCCAGGAAAAAGCAATTACTGATAATTACTGTATATATCCTCGTACTGTTTGCTTAGGCTGTACCCGTTTGGAAAACGAATGAGGAACAAAAGCACAGCACAGCAATCCCCAAACAAGTCCCCAGTTGGCCGGCCTGGACGTGCCTCATCTGGATGCTTCTGAATCTGCAATGCTGCTTCACCCTCGTGCTCCTTGAACCTTGAAATGAAGGTGTGGTACTGCGAGCCGTCAAGCCTGGCATCCTCTTCAGTGACTGCACCCTCCACAGTGAGTAGTGGATGTAACTCCAAGTCAGCCATCCGGCCACCCCAGCCGATGCCAAGAAGCTAGCTTCAACAACTGAAAGTGTGATTGTTCACAAAAAGGCCTGAGGTGCAGAAGGTCCCCTTGCATACACCCCCAACCTGCATGCACAACCTTCAGGTTTGTGATGTCGTCATCCCCTAACAGGTGCTCTGCCTGGTTTCAGCGAAGCCCTGGCTGGAGCAAAAGCAGCACAGCACACACAACTTGCTCTTATGATGCTGCACCCCGATTCCTAGATGTGTCTTCTAGTTGCTAGTTGTCTGCAGCAGCTCAACGAAAGCCAGAATCTGTCCAATAGCATGTCCCACGCTTTGTTCTTGGCACTCCCTGGCGGGCTGAGTGCCGGATTTAAAACATGAGCCCTTCAAAAGCGAAGCAAGCAAAAATGGCAGGTGCCTGACAAGGAGAGTGCTAAAGTGGCGCCCTCAGTCAAGGTCGGAGATCAAGCTACTTCATGACTACTCTTGGACAGTAAGCAAGGTGAAATGCCCAGTTTATCTGTTGCAACTCTTGCCCCTCTAGCCAGCTGACGGCACGGAAGCACCACCAGTCTCGACCTTCGAAGCATCGAAATAGAATAGAAAGGCAACGGTTCGATGCTCTCAATGGCCTCCTTTTCTTCACCTGGCCTGAAGTGCCTGTAAATCGCAGCTTGATTAAGCTCATGTCAGAGTCTACATTGGGCCCAGACTTTCCTGCAAGACTTCCATCAAGAGTGCCTCCACCTGAGAGGACAACTCAAGGGAATTCCTGCACGACGCGAAACGGTGAGAAAATCCCTCCATGTCCGTCCTCGTCTCCAGAGGCAGTGCGGATGGCAGCCAAGCCAACGCCAGCAGGTTGGCCGTAGCCGTGCCACACCGTCTGCGGCAAACGAATGAGTTGCTCCGCCTTTTCCAGCAAGCCTTCCGCTGCGCAGCGCCGAGTGCCCACATCCTGAAATGATGATTGCTTGAACGGGGGGTAGCAGCATGTAGCAGCAACTAGTTGCTAGTTCCTAAGCATTTTTTGATGCGCACGAGTGTTCAAAACATGTTCGACGTCGTCTTCCACATGTCGGCTATCGCAAGAGTCCTTGTCTGACAACGCCCGGAGCAGCGGACAAAACAGAGTAAGACGAGGAGCCTGAGGCAAAACCAGTGAGGTGGTGGTGAGCCAGCTTATCAACAAATTGCAGAACCTACAGTTCAGTGGCAATAGTCATTGAGGCCTATTGCCGAGGAAGTTTACCTGCCTGTGCGCTGTTTGCTCTGTTCGACGTTCCCTGAAATCCCTTTACAAAGCATGGCTTCCAAGCCAAGTGCAATCTCCAAACCCGCAATTCCTATATCTCTCTCAGGCTCGCTCGTGGAGGCTACGCATGTCCACAGCTGTCAGACCTACCGGACTTGCAGCGGCACGTCGAAATCAAAAGCTAATCAACAGTGATGACAAAGCCCTCCAGCCCTACTGAAGTCTAGGGCCCTTTGAAGATGGGAGCAAAGACTCTTTGGGAGTGCAACCACCATTTTGGAGCCGAGTGTTGGCCCGCCCCCCAATGCACTCTTTTTTCACTTCTCTGGCCACTTACTATTCAGTAGAGATCATCCGGCACATCAAGCAAACCCAAATCACTTTCAGCTCCAACAGCGAAGTCAGGCGCGTCCTTGTCAGAAGGGGGATGCTCATGCTGACCCATGCTAATCCAGTGAATCTCTGCTGATGCTGCTGCACCCCGAAGACTGGAAGATTCAATTTGCCTTTCAAAACGACGGTCTTTGATCGCTGCTCCATGCTTTTGATAATTTGATATAATTTGCCGTTTCACTCATTGCTTCCAGCGACCGCTTTCAGCAGCCGCTCTGCTGCAGGCACCGGTGCTGGGTTCACCTGAAGCGAGCTCGCAGCCAGCTCCTGCCAGAAGCACCCGTCAAAAAGTGCGGTTTCCTGCACAGTGTGATGCTAATCCTTTGAAAGACCGTAAAGCAAACGCAGAATTTGCAAATGTGCCTCACACAGCTTGACTACGGCCGGGTTTGCTGGCGGCGACACACGCCGCCGCATCATGGCAGCATAGTCCTGACGAGAGGTCCATGGTTGTGGCATGGCAATTAGGTCCAGGTACAGTGGATTACGCGCATTCAAAGACCCTGGCATAACCTTCCGGCCTTAGATATTGACATTAAAATGTTAGATCTACAAATAACTTCTTGTTACTACTAGTAAGGCACTTGTTACTAGAAGCGATGCACTTGTTACTAGTAGCTTCTTGTTACTACTTAGATCTACAAACATGTCGACAAGAAACAATTTCATCAAATCTTATCTGAGATCACCTTGGTATGCTGCACACTGATCAACTGCTGCTCTGCCTGCCTTCTTCCTGCATTATTGCTCCATGAAAAGTCACATCATACTTCCACTGCTGGCTATTACATACTATTATTAATGAATACTATATATATATACCTATTCCAACCAGCAAAGAACCACGCTAGAGCCACCAATGAGCATGGACACTGCATTGAACGCAAAGGCCACAAATGCCCCAAGGAACGTTTCTTCTGAGCAGTTCTATTCGCACGCTTTGGACAATTGCCCTTATTTCCAAGTCGGCAGTGATTCCGCCAGCTCAACAGTCAGAGCCTGCACTGTCGGCAAAATCTCTCCTCCATCCCTGCGTCAAGAGTATCTCTCCAGCGTTCAGAGGGGAGCTCTGGATGCCAAAAGCGGATTAGGAGCACAATCCTTGGCAGGTCCACCGATCCCAAAACAAGGAATCAAACTGGCAGAAGCACTGGCTGCCTAACACATGACACGTAACGCTCTCAACACAGGTCAATAGTTGAATAACCATGAATAACCCATTGTTCCACTGGGGAAGAACAATTCCGCGAACAGCTTGCGGCAAAGATGCCGTACTCCATCAGCATCATTGACAACCTTCCAAGGGCACAGCATCTTCAGCGTTCTACACGAATTTCTGAATGGAAAGCTCCATTATTGTGCCTCGTGCTCGTAGCTGTCGTCAAAGAAAATGCATCTCCCTTCCTCTTGGCCAGTGGCCCATACACACACAAAAAAAAAGAAGCAAACCGCGTGACAAACATACGACAGAAGTATGGCCAGTGTGACACCAAAGAGACTGGCACATGCCAGGTCAACTTTAAACTCCGTCTCACAATTTCCATCCCTCTCCTCCCAGGTGCCCCAGGTCGGGCCCACACGTACTCGAGCCCCTTCTGGGCAGATCACACCCAAGTGGCAGGTCAGCCGGACATTGCTGGAGGCGCCTTAAGCCAAGCGAGCTCTGAGGCAGAGTATTTTCCGCACAAACAAATGGATATGAACACCATCGCTGCAGGCGGTTTGACGGCTCATCCATGGCTTACACCCCTGAAGGTACGGAAGAACCATCATAGTGAGAATTATCCCTAAAAATCCAGGAACCAAATGAATAGTGCGAGCGCTTCTTCAAGGAAGCCCCCCCCGCCCTCAGGCGTGGAGAGCTTCCTGGAAGAAGCGTGAACTATCTTGCGTCCTAGGTGGTCGCTACTGAAGCTGCTAGATACCTAGCTACGGCCTACCCCCTCCCGAACTTTAAAAAAAATACTCCACTATTCCACTTCGAGTGATCCCCACCATAAGATGTCAATCATTTGTCTTCATGCCATGGTGAGGAGCATGTTACCATGCTCGTCAGTTTTGTGGTTCTCGACTTTGTTTGTGGGTCCTCGGGTTGTGTGCTGTGACTGTGGTTGTGTGCTGCATATGTGTCTTTGTGGTTGTGTGTTGTGGTTGTGCTTGTGGTGCTGTTTGTGGCTGTGTATGGCTGTGCTTGTGATTGTGTTTGTGGTTGTGCTTGTGCTTGTGGTTGTGTGTTTATGGCTGTGCTTGTGATTGTGTTTGGGGTTGTGTTTTTGGTTGTGTTTGTTGTTGTGTGTTTGTAACTGTGTGCTTGTGGATGTGTTTGTGGTTGTGCTTGTGGCTGTGTTTGTGGATGCGTTTGGGATTGTGTTTGTGATTGTGTTTATGTTTGTGGTTTTGTGTTTGTCACTGTGTGTTTGTGATTGTGTGTTTGTGGTTGTGCGCTGGTTGAGGTCAGGCGGGGAACACCCACACGACCCTTGCAGTTGAGGTCCGGCGGGAACACTACCAGCCAAGGCTCGCGGTTGAGGACGACGCGCAGAACAAGAAGGAGGAGGAGCAGGAGGAGGAGGGCACGAGCTGACATAATTTAACAACCCTCACCTGACAGGTGGGGAAAAAATGAAAAAATATCCTCCAAATTCGCCCAACCGAACCGACCAGGCAAGCAGCAATGAGGCGTGAGCTTCGTTCCCGGTGCGATGGCTGAGAGGATGATCTCCCCCACCTATCGAGGTGAATGAAGAATCCACATCAGGTAGACCCTCGCAGGAGTGGAGATTAACCTCTTCAAGCTCCATCAAATGACTGAGCAGGCCAAAGTCAACATGCTATTTGCCAAACTGCAATTGGAGGGCTAGAGCGGCTAGATTGGAAGATAAGACTTGACTGGAGTTACTATGAGGGGGAAGGAATGATATGAGATTGATGAAACGAGCGCGGTGATGTCGGACTGCCAGCTGGGGCCCAGCACCCCAAACTTTGCCATGGCCACTGCGCCAGGCAGCAAGTTCTCCAGCAGCTCACAGGTCTTCGGAAAGGCCTTCAGCACCTGCAACTCTGATGGTCATTTCACAACGACTTGTCTGTGCTTTGCTATTGAGGGTCTGGCGAACTTTTGCAGTTCTGTGGGTGCTTCGAGTCCCTGGCTTTGTTCCCTTGGATTTTAGAAGAGGTATCGCCGAAAACGCCTCGGGGTTGGCTGTAGCGGGACTCTGATCTTGCGCCGAGTACAGCAAGAACTCCCGCCACTCACCGCCGGGGGCAATGATGTCACCTGAAAGGCAGGGCTACGTCGGCTACGTGCAGAAACAAAGCAACACAGCCGCACCGATCTCTGCAGAGCAGGGCATTTGGGTTTTGGGAACCGTCTCCGATGATGGAAAATGGTCGTCCACATAAACAAAGACAAGCCTCTCGTGGACGGAGCAAACAATGAAACTGCAAGCTGCGGAAACAAGCTTGCAGCTTGACACTCAACGTAGTCGAGCAGCCATCTTGTGAGGCGCGTTCCTTGGCTGGTCAGTACAGTAAGCAAGTCACTTGCTTGATTCGCCATGCTCGGCATAACCCCATCATGTATCACCATGTTTCACCCAAATCTGGTCCAGCCCAACCATGCTGTTTAATGATATGTTTCACGAATGTTCCAGCACCCTCAATAATTAAGGACTGAAGTGGTTTTGTCTCAACGAGTGGGTTCGAACTACACCTAGAATATACCGCAGAGCCTCTTGCCCCACTGGAAGCCAGCTCTTAGGCATGCCCGTGCCACTTAGCAAGCCCTCCACTTCAGCCTCAGGGCCCAGGGGTGAACGTCCAGATTCGGCCGGATGCACTGCTTAAAACCCACACACACCAAGCAATAAACGATGTCTTCTTGAGAAGCAACACCCAAAAAACTTATGCATACACAAGCATAGCATGTGTAGATTGAGCATATATATATATATGTGTGTGTGTGTTTTATATTGTTCTTTATCTATTTGCCCTAGTGTAAAATCCTAAGGCCCTACATTTACATATGATGAAGGCTTACATATCATACGTCATGTGCCCACCATGTCCCAGGCCTTGATCTCCGGAAAGGCGCCTTCCAGCTCGTTGGCCCAAGGGAACTCCTCCCGAGACCACCAGGGCTTCGAGGTCAAACCTGGTGAAGCGGTGCCGTCGAGTTTAATATCAACTTAATTAGAATTGAAACAAGAAGAGTCCACCATGGCCGCTTTCTTTGAGACATGGACGTTCGAACAGCGATGGCCTCCAACCTACTTCCAACCTAATAGTGGTGGCCTCCAAGAATCCAGAATATCAACATCTTGGCAGTAGAAGTAGTAAACTCACTTGCGCTCTCTTGCGTTTTAGGTGGCAGCGCCAAGCAAATGACCCATGGTCAACAAGGACCGTACAATTGAACTCTGAAGATCCCTGCCATGCCTGACACGAAGATCGGGCATCGTTGCCACTCATTGGCCCAAAGGGCACCACGTTCAATCGCACGCTGTGCCACTTCTCGAGCTTCCTCCCGCCTCCCAGCAGACCGGCTGTGAAAGTCATGGGGCCACTTCCATGGTTATATCAACAAGTATATCAATCCATGTCATTTCTGAATTCCATCGAATGAACCGGCGCCTGCCAGTAGACTCCAAGAAAAGCACCAGCTCAAGGTAGCCATGGCCACTCTCTGGAAGCATGTCTAGCACCTGACCACACAAATACCGCTTTGGAAGACAAATCAAGGCAAAGACACCTCACTGGATGTGTCAATCGGCAGCCAGTGGCCCACCCGTCAGTGCTCCAAAGGCATGAGGATTATGGTCCCTCAATGGCCCTCAACCTGCTTCACCCGGGCCTTGTAGTAGCATGACTCGGCTTCTTGGTGGCGCCCTGCATGATAGAGCTTGGTGGCCAAGAAGAACACTCGTTGGGGGTCGCTGGCGTCCAGATTCCTTAGACGTCCACTTGCATGACCAGCCTGGATTCCCATTGGGCTATATCATTCTGGTCAACTCTCTTTTACCACCAGAAATCTGATGGAACGTACAATGAGGTTGACTCAGTCCAAATAAGTTTGCCTTCTAGTGTATCTGCATCTCCTGGACGATCCCTCTCGGTTGCCACGGGACACAGAGGCCTCAAACGAGTCCAAGCCAGCAGTGCTTTGTTGATTCTTCTGGACTTCTGGCAGGTATTCCAGAATTCCTTGTGCCCATAGCCGATCAGCGGACATGACCGCTGAGGCTGCAAGAAAGGCTGACTCAAAAGGTGGATTCACCCATAATCGAATACTGGTCAAAATGCGACTATAGCCATGTAAGTAAGAGCCGATATGCCGAACTAGGACAAACAACTATGCATCTGTCACGCCTAAAGCCCTTCCATCTCCTTCTTCAAAAAAGTCAACTGACTATTCATATTCACCCTGATCTGGCACAAAAGCCTGCAAGCCAAAAGGTTGTGCAACGGATTCCAGAAAGTGTCTCTTCTTGCTCCATGAACCCCGTTAGAACCCTGTACTAGCAACAAGGACGTAGCTCCTTGCCTTACAACTAGGAACAAGGACGCTAGTAACAAAGGGCATCACTACTAGGACCAAGGATGCTCCAAAGTCCCAACTGCCAATCCAGCCTTTGGCAGCCTCTCGTCGGACAAGGGGATCCTGGGGATGCCCATATCTTCCCAAAATTCAAACAGACCCATACGGGCGTTGTATCTCCTTGGAAGGCTTAGAAATGACATCATCATCGGACACTGAGCCGTATAGGCGTACGGTGCATCGGTCCTCATCGTACAGCAGCTGTCCCAAAAGCTTTGCTGTGATCTCGGCCTCAAATGCCAAGAACGTCTGTGGATTTGTTCCATGACAACTCCAGCAAATCATCTGAAAACTCAGGCAAAAGCGTTGGCTCTGCCAGGGTATCTGCCTGGCACTGAGCGGCTGGGCGTTCGAATGGGTGATGTAAACTATATAGTGCTACGAGGGATGACACAAAGGTCCACTGTGGGATCTATGCTGCGACTTGTGGAACACAGCCAGCCCACGTATGCAAGGCAAGCAAGCGCAGCCCACGCCTAAGATTTTTGCAGCAGCTGTAGCAGTGCCCTGCCGCACCTGAGCACACCCTTTGCGTCATGCTTCCAAGACCAGCCCGTCGTTCCAAGATCTGAAGAAGCAAAGTTGGTGAGGAATCAGGAACCAAATCCCTTAGACTTTGGACACTCATATATGTTTTAAAGGAAATAAGAAGGTAAGGGCACTTGCTGTCTGTTTTCAATGCGAGAGGACCTGGATGGCGCATTGCAAGTAATCTTTTTTCCTGCGCTAGCTAATTGTCATTGGAGACAAGCCACATCGGCAATGGGCCTGCTAGACATGATGACATCTGCAGGTGGGATTTCGTCTCATTGTTCCAGGGATGCGGATCCACTGCAGCATCAAAATCTTGCAAGGCTGAACATTCGAGCAACAGCTTCTGCTAGGGAAGCAAGGATCAAAATCCTGGTGAGAGTGGTGCAATCTGCGGGCTTGGCACAAGCCGAACCAGGACGAACGAAGAAGTGTTTTCACATGTCGTGCTCACACAACCAACATGAAATCATTGCACCATCACATTGGCTTCTTTGACCAGGCTATTCTCAAGTCAGCCCTAGCTGACACCACGACTATTTTAGAGGAAAGTGCTTGCCGCTAAGACCTTCTTTGGCAACTTGGGGGGTAAGGCCGTAAGGCCCTCGGCAGACAGTAGCGGTCGTCTGGCAGCCTTAGCACAACGAATCGTCCTGCGGTCACTTGACCTCCAGGAAGACCGTGCCGGCATTTCCCACGACCTAAGAAATGACGAGTCACGAGCAGCACCAAACAGTTCCTCTGGCGCTACACTCCCCAAGAACTTACGAGTAAGTAAATCTCGCCGGGGACACTGCTTACTAGGAAGTTTCCGACCATGTAAATTCACCAAGAATAATAGACCAGCAGGTAAGCCCTATCAGCATCTATCAGCTAACTATTATAGAAAGAGATTTTAAAAAACTTGACAGATTTTGACCGGGCAGGCTGACCTTCACTACGCAGCTCCTGGGAATGACCAGGGGAGGGGGGGAGGAAAACCAGGTAAGCCAGGGCCCCATCCATTCTCACACGTCGGGGCAAACAAAAAAATGCAAAACCCAAGGAACACTTCCTCGTGTGGCTGAATTGCAATTCCTGGTTGGGTGATTCGAGCATGTATGCTGCAACGGTGCAACACTTCCTGGTAAACCAAATTCCTGCTTGAATCAGACAGTCAGTCGGCAAGGGCAATCCCAAAATACGAAGTGCCTTATTGTTATATGGTATGACAGGGCACCTGCTGTGTCAACTATCGTACCCATTCGTACCGCAGTCCAACCAACAGAAAAAGAAGAAGCTCTCAAAGCCTTCAAGTGAACTTAACCTGCCTGGAAGTTTGCAAAAAGTTTGGTACAGTATATAGGTGCCCTTGCTTGGTAAAATGCACTTGAGAAACATAGCCTATACTGACAAACAAGGAAGTTTAGACAATCTGAACTAACGAGGAAGAAGTTTGTCTTGACCAGACATTGACATGCATACCCTCCACTAAACATTAAAGCGGTGATGTTAGTTGAACAGACTGTTTAAGGTCTGGGGAGAGTATATGCTATTGGCCAGTTGGCAATGAGGTTTTCACAAGTCATAGACCACGGGTTCATGTTGCAGCTCCGTTTGAAAAAGGTACACATGAGCAAGCATGTGCAAACATATCGCAAAGGAGTGGATCTTCCTAAGCCTAAGCACTCGTGTGCCAAGCACACCCCGAGCACCCAACGGTGGCCCAGCCAATGGCACCATCCGAGAGAGCCTTGCAGCGCAAGCGCTTGAGGCCCATCCTGGCAAAGCTCTATCACCCAGGCAATGCTCTTCTGTTGTGCAATGCTCGCCCGAGCTGGCAAGGTATGCTGACTAGTTGGACCATGGCATGGCAATCATCCCAATGCTGCATTCCGTCCAAACAAACCAAGAATCGTGGCTGAGGCCGCCACTGCTCGTGCTTCTTCATCCAGGACTTGACTTCAACCAACTCACCGACTTTTAGTCGTCGGTCCTCCTCCAGAGGCTGGTGGCGGACGTCAAGCTTAGAAATTGGAATGATCCAAAGGAGTTGAAACGATTCCCAAGGAAGCTTCTAGTTACTAGAAAGATCTAGAAGGCTTTAGTGTTACTAGTAGCAATGGCCTCCAACCTAATAGCGATGGCCTCCACCTAGTAGCTTCTAGTTGCTAGAAAGCTTTATTGTTACTAAGAAGCTTCAAAGACATACTAAAAAGCTTCTGGTTGCTGCAGGTCAACCGATTCCCAGTGACACGATTCCTTCTATTCTCGTGCCATGGATTTAAGCATGCAAGTCGAACCTTTCTCGCCATCGCCAGTCGTGACGCCACACAGGACACACAGTCCACAGATCTGGCTTTGTCTAGTTAGACAACTCTCAGATCTTTGTCTGACAGAGACTGCCGCTTCCTGCTTACAAAAAAGCTAGTGCACTCCATCACAGAATCCTCCAACCTTGCTCTACCCGAAAGGCTCCAGTCGTCGGTCTTCACGTCGGCTCAAGTGGGCTGCAGCAAAGGCTTTGGCCAAGCGCCAGGACACGGGGAAGACATCCAGCGCCATGGTTCCCATGTAGGTCAACTCTCCGATTCGTGGACCCCAAACTGGATCCCCCAAGAGCCAATCGACCCGCAGTTCATCCAAGCCGTGGGCCACCGCTTCCGAGTCTTGACGGATTTGTGGCCAGTGCTCAGACAAAGACGTCACGAGAAGGTAGAAAATCTGGGGAGGGAGATCTTCCCAAAGCCCATGGCCTTTCTTCAAGAGGCCTATTGTTTTTGGATCCCACTGAATCACCTCGCCATCTCGGGTCACCCACAAATACATGGGGTGAGAGTTTAAGCATGCGCCCACCACCTCACCAAACAAGACCTGCACTTTCAATTCCAAGGGTTTCTGCAACTTGGTCAAGTCCTTCTCCCCCGTCTCCAGGACATCGGCCATCAAAGCATAGAGCGGCTGCAGCACAGCGCCTTTGGTCACTGCATTTTGGTTCCAAGATTCTCTCCGCCAAGATGGATCCTCGGCACATAATGCGGCCTCAATGCTCTCCAGGATGGCCTCTTCATTGGCCTGCGCCATCTCTCGAGTGAGTTGGACCCCGAAACAGTGACATCAAAGAAATTCAGCTACTGCCCATTTCAGTCAGGAAAAGGATGGTAGCAAATCCTCCGGATACGGTATGCATACAAGGCTACAATAAATCCCCGCACTCATCATCTCTCATCTTTCCCCTTGAACCATTTGGTGCCCTTCCACCAATTTGGTTGGTCAACATGCTACGACCGAATAACCATATAACTTCATATAACCTCTTCTCTGGTCTCAACCCTTGCCTGACACTCTCACTCGCCACTCCCCATGACTCGTCCAGGCCGCTCCGCACCTGGGCTGGGCAGGGCCACATGGCCACGTACTTGGAGTTGGAGCCATGCCGTGGTTTCACCACGAAGGAGGAGTTCAAGGCCACCTGGGAGAATAAGAAGGCACCCACCGAGTCGAAACAAGTCGTTGGCACCGAACCAAACGACTTCGTGCACGGGCCCCCATGCAAATTTACGATGGACTGGTTGGATCCATCGGGGTTCCTGCATCTATTTTCCAAATGAACTGGGCAAAATGATTGTCGGAGTGATGGAGTGGTTCTTTGATTGTGTCTCAGGGGTTGGGGAGAGGTGCCATTTAAACGCAAATGTCCTCCCTGTACTATCCAACAGCCATCCTCATGGAAGTAGTACGACGAACTCAACGCCAGCTTGCGGGCAAGCAAAGTGAGAAAAGCAAGAAGCTAAAGACATTGAGGTCTCTGGGTATTACTCAAACACTTTGTAATTACTTATATGTGGACCAAATTGCTGTACTGTGCATATATATATATACTGTATATATATATATATCTGTTCTTTTCTCCATCGCCCTATATATAATAGTTTTTTCTTGTGAGTGCCTTGCCCTTCTTTCAAACATGTGTCAATTAGCTTCCCACCGTTCCTGATGCCATTCACCCAGCGCCTGCTGCCGTGCAGCCGCCCACAGCTTCTTCGCCGCTGCGGCGTCCGACGCGGGCGCGGCCGCCAGCAGCGGCAGGTGCCGCTGGATGCCCAGCTGGGTTGCGGTACGGTGCACCTGCTGGAGCAAAACCGCTCCGAGTGTGCAAACCCACTACAAAAAAAAACTCTTCAGAGCGCTCTTGGGGGGTTCAAAAGCTGATGGTGACCTACTTCATCAACATAGACTCATCGACACTTTCATCTCATAGTTGACCTGTTCAAGCTTGTCGTCCAGCCACACCAAGCCAAAGCTGCAACTTCTGTAAGAGAGGCCAATCCGTTTGTTCATGATGCAACGCCAGTCCTTTGTGCTCTTACCTTGTTCTGCGTTCATTGGGCGGCATCCTCCCCAAAATAAAAAGCCAAGCAGAATCAGGTTCAGGTATATAATCCAAAAGTCACAGGCATCTACTTAAGAAAAGATTCTTGTATAATTGAAGCTAAGTAGCCTCTGCTCACGAGCACCTGAACCAGCAACTTGAAGTGCCAATCCCAATGAGGGGCTTCAAGGACATGAAAATCCGCAAGGCATGTTTCGTAACCTCTTAGCCCGCCTCCAACCTACTCACAGCCGAGCTCTATATTTTCCTGTCTACGAAGTTCTCACAGAAACTTTAGAGTCTGGGTTCTTGCTGCTACTTCCATGACCCGTAGGCACCTGAAGGAAAGCTATTTCTTCTTTCTCCTCTGGCCTCCCTCAAGTACTCCACCAACTCCGCTGTAGGCTCACAGTCATCCAGTAGCCGCATGCTCCGGGCTCCTTGGATCCCACAGAGCAAGTCCTTCTCGATGTAACGAATCGCTTCAGCATGTGAAAGCGGCAGAACAGCGCCGGCGCCTGAAACGAGCAGTTGCTCTGCCGATGACCCCTACAAGTACGCAGCTTTCAGGATGGGTTGGGTCCTCCAATTCTACACGGTATGTATACCTCATTCTCCTTGTAATAGTTTGCTATATCGTTTGACATTCCGGTCTCAAGCTGACCGATGAAAAGTGATGAAACTACTAGCAACAAGAAGCTACTAGGGGCTCCTGGCCATACTACTAGGAGCAAGGACGCTACAGGAGCAAAGGGCATCGCTACTAGGAGCAAAGATGCTACTAGGGGCTCCTGGCTTCGCTACTAGGAGCAAGGACGCTGCTAGGGGCTCCTGGCCTCACTACTAGTAACAAGAAGCATCAAAGAAGGGCTCAAGATTCTTCGCCCCTCACCTGAGGCCGCCATGCTTCGCCATTGCAATGGCGAAACAGCGCACGGATTAGTGATCGTTGGCAGCCACACGAAAGGCACAACAGCAAAATCCCTATATAAATGTCAGTTTGCCTGGAAATTTTCTGGCCCATGACCACTAGAATTTAGGCCGGACACCGGACACCTACATAGTTGGTGACTATGATAGGAGTCACGGCAGTCATAATCCTGAGACGAGCGATAGCAACCCATGCATTAGACTTGTCAGCTTCAGTCTCATTCATCCGAACCTTTGTACTACTAGTAAGGCACTTGTTACTAGTAGCGATGCACTTGTTCCTACTAGCTTCTTGTTACTATTACTACTAGTAAGGCACTTGTTCCTACTAGCTTCTTGTTTCTATTACTACTAGTAAGGCACTTGTTCCTACTAGCTTCTTGTTACTACTA